ATAATCGCAACGGAAGTTTTCGCGGCGGACATGGTTATGGACGAAATTTTAACGATAATAATTTTCAACGAAATAATTAGAACCGGATGAAACACGTGCGGGAAATCTAATCATTTTGCAAGGGATGGCTGGCAGACAATAGGTAGGCCGAATACACAGCAAAATGCGTATAATAGTAATCGCGGCAACGGCGCGTAATATTGGCAATAGTTATAATCGTGCAGGCAATAGTAGCGCACAAAATGTACATTGAAGTTTTTGTAATAAGGTAGGGAATGAAATTACGAACTGTTTCCAAACAGTTGGAAAGACCCACAAAACGAATTTTCCACATCACAACTCGATTAGTAGATAATCATATCACGTTAAAATCGCAAGTTTTCAAATAAAGATCAACATAAATGTTAGTTGACCCGGGCGCGGATCTGAACATTATCAAAATTAATCCTTTAAAGGGAGATACTGTAATTAATGAAAAAGAAAAAAATTATTTAAAGGGAGTCAATGAAAAAATAGTGTCCACAATAGGAAAAACAGAAATATATTTAATTATAGATAATATAGCATTTGGAACAGAATTGTATGTAGTTAGTAAAATGTTTCCGATATCCGGCGACGGAATAATATTATGTAATAAGTTTTCAATAGATAACCACGCAATAATAAATGTTGCGAATAATACAATTACGATAAATGAAAGCAAAATAGAGAACGATAATAATAATTGTTTTACATTGCAACCACGTTCTGAAACAGTAGTACAAATTGATATAGCAGATAAGGCAATGAATAATAAAAATATATTAATTAATAAACAAGAATTATTACCAGATGTATATAGTGCAAATATTTATAATAAAGTTAAAAACGGGAAAGTAACGATAAGCGTGTTAAATATATCCAAAACGACGCAGGATATAAATGTAGGTCGAGTACGTAAAATATCATACTAGAATATAATATTATACATTTATGAATTTATACACAAATACAATATACCTAAATCAAATTAGTTATACCAACTAAAACGTTAACTAATATATCAAATAAATTCCTTATTTCTATAAAACATGCAATACCTAGAATAATAATAAATATAATATATCCAACCGCTCTGGGTAAAGGCTAAAATATCGATGTTTCAAATGTTAGACACGTTTGAGGTTAAACAAAAAAACAAATGAGACACTACCATCCTAGTTATTAGTTTTACCCTACCTAACATGACCTACAATAATCAATATTAACCGAGATCACCGAGGACGGTATAACCTACAAACTTGTCTAACAGAATAAAAAAATTAAAACCAAATTACGTTACATTATATTGTTATAATCATCGATTTAATATCTTTACCTTCATTTGCTGGGACGTTGATCACAGAAGCCATTTTTGAATTGTTCGTCGAGTCGTGGTAAGGGAGAGGGGCGATAAATTTACGTTATTCGACAAAAATAATATAACGCCGTGGTAATGGCAGTTGTAAAAAGCAAAAAAAAAAACAGCAATGGCGACAACTGTATAAATATTAAATTATAATATTATGTTAATAATTATACAACGAACTACGCCAAACGGGTCACGCAGTGCTGTGAACAACGGGAACCGTAAAACGATGGGAACGTGTCGGACAACGAGCTACGGCGGCAATGTCGACGGACGAGTGTCGAATGAATATGAACGGTGTCTGCCAGCTCATTGGTATGGTGGGGGTTCGGTGTACGGGCAGCGGGTCGCGGTGCTCGCCAACATAGCGCCCTTTGGCCTTGGCGCGAGTTTGCTTGTGTGTGAGTGCGTCGGTGTGCGAGTTTACTTGCATTTTATACGTGCTAGCTGGTTTTTGTATAGATGTGTGTGTGTGTGACACGTACATGGTGCGCGTGCGTGAGTTTTGTGAAATCGTCCGAACAAAGATGTAACTAGCCGGATAGTTTCTAAGCGAGGTACGTACCGAGATAGTACTTCCCGCGACCCGTAAACACTTCCCAACCAACTGTCATGCGCTGGCAGTGTGGTGGAATCCAATGTGGCCAGCCCGTCGATTGTTTGCGAGTAAAACCCATTAGGCGGCGACCCCACTGACTAGTACCCCGATAGAGGCTACCAACGCGCCGAACACGCATACTTCAAGGTTTTTTCAAACAATATACGAACACGGGGAACGATAATAATTTATTATTTCTTTGAATATCACTAGTTATGGTGTATAGACACTCTAGATGTATATTATTGAAGGCACAGTCATCGTTTTCTATTTTTACATTAATAAAACCCAAAATTATAATATTACATTTTTATTTCTGGTACCATCTAAATTACCATTAGCAGTAGGTAAAATCGTGGTATTGTGGTACATATTTTATCCTATGATTTTCT